ACACCATGAAACAGTCAAGGATTTCAGAGCCAACTGGCATTCAAAGGACCTCATGCTAGCCCATTATGTGACCATTCACAGTAGTCAAGGGTTTGGGGTTGTTCTGATAAGGCAGTTATTAAGCATTTAAACGAGTGTTCTGTTTGCAGCTCTAGAGTGTAGTCTTACCTGCTTCAACATGAGAGAGGATTTTTGTATTTTGCCAGTCATTTCACAGTGACCTTTTGTGAGACCTTCATTATAGGTTGTGGAAATAACTTTGCTGTTGGAAGTCAACAGTGTCAGCTGGATATAATGTTTGTAGTATTTGAGAGGAGGGCGCTGGATAGGTGTTTGTATTCTCTGTGTTAATTATTCAGTTACCTAGGCTACCACCCGGGAACAGAAAACCTTCTAGAACCCCCTTGGAGCAAGCCCAGATCCCACTTACACACATACAGGCAAAGCACCCACAGGGCCATACACTTCCTAGCCAAAGAGCAAAGATGCCTGCCATGCTCAGAATGCTTTGTCTTCAGACAACAACCACCCACACCAACTCTCCTTTAGATGCAGTTTCCTGATTTTGTGCTAGCATTACCACCAACTTTCTGTGATTTGAGGCATGTCATTTCAATACTGTGTGTCCATTTTCATAACTGAGGAGTCAAGCATAACATTGGGGAATTTTATTAGAAGCCTTTTAAGGTACTTTATAACCCAAAGATTCTGTGTTTCTAATTAGGCACAATGAGTTAGAGCTATACAGAGACAGATAGTGAGTTTCCTGGAAAAAAGAGTCTTATAACAGAGTCCAGAGATAGAATGGGCCACATTCAAGAAAGGGTGGGACAGCCACTTTGCAGGAATGTTTACAGAGGAGATTCAAGCCTTCTATGGAAGAATGGGTATGGTACAACCAAATAATTTAAAATTTGTTGCAATCTGTGGGATTCATAGCATTATGAGCTATGATTTGGTGCAAACCAAGGATGTGATGCCAGGCAGGTCAATATCCCTGCTGAACATAGGCGCAAAAATCCTCAACTAAATACTAGCATTATTCCTGGGGTGCAAGAATGATTCAACATAAATCAGTAAATGTGATTCACCGTATTAACAGAATGAAAGACCAAAACCATATGATCATCTCAATGGATGCAAAAAAAGCAGTTGACAAAATTCAACATCCTTTTATAATAAAAACTCTCAACAAACTATGGAAGGAATGTTAATACAATAAAGGCCATATGACAAGCCCACAGCTAATACCACACTCTACAGTGAAAAGCTGAAAGCGAGGATGTCCACTCTCACCACTTCTGTTCAACATAGTACTGGAAGTCCTAGCCAGTTTCATTTTAAGGAGCCTCATTTTCTTCATCACACAATAGGGCATATGATAATCCCTATTAAACTTACTTTGCACAGAATATTATTATTAAGCTTTGTGAACTAATGAAATGGGAGGGATTGTTGTTATTGTTAAGAATCCTGATTAACTTCAGACATATTTGGAAAAATAGAATAAATAGGAAAGAAGTAATAGCAGCCCAGCAATTGTACATTGGCTCTGACGTCATTTGGGGAAATGATAGTTCAAATAGGAAAAGTGGGTTGGAAGCAATCTTGAGAAGTTGTCTGTTCCATCACCTGTCTCTGTCCCTAATCCAAACTGTACAGGTGAATCATGGTCTTATTTTTAAGGCCTCCAGAAAAAGGTTCCTTCCATATCTATCTTGGGAATCCTCAGCCACTTGTGTCACTATTAAGTGTCATTTCAAACGTTAAATTCATAATTTTTCTTCAAAAGAAACCACATTTCATGTGTATGTATTTGTATGTTTTGGTATGTTATATGCTTTATGTGATCACACATATGTGCATATATACACAGATTAATTCAGAAACCCAATGTGTGACATGCACATACATACCTGTGTATTCACACATAGGAAATACACACATGTGCACAAGCATGTTGTTTATGCCTGTGTTGCATATGGCTGGCAACATCAGTGCCTCTCTAAGGCTATATTAAGCACCTTGATTTTTTGGAGGGCATTAGAAAACAAAGAGACCAAATGCCTCTAGATATAAGAGACAATGTTACATAATGAGTGCAGTGTGCACCATCTGGCAGATGGACACTCTTGAAGCTCTGACTGTGGGGGGGGGGAGGGCAATATACCTAACCTAAACATTTGTACCCCCATAATATGCTGAAATAAAAAAATTTAAAAAAAGAGACAATGTTACATTAAGTTGCTATCCTAAAAGGACAAAGTAAAAAGACTAGAGATCATTATTTTGGATAGTTTCTTGCATTTCTTGCTTACCAGTAGTATTTAAGCCCTTTGCATAAAAGATTCTACAAATACATTACAGCTGAAATCCAGATGTCCTTTAAGATTCCTAGAGCTGGAAAAGATTTTAATGATTTTTTCAGTCCAGCCCATTTCCTGTTATCAATGGGGCCTAGAGATAGAAAAGGACTTGTCCAAGGTCATATAGAAAGTTAGTGATAAGGCTGAACGACAATCCAGATCCTGTGACTTGTAGCCCAGTGCTCTTTCTCTTATCTGGTACTTGAATATTTTCATTCAGCAGAGATTTTCCTCTGTAACATCAATACCTAGTACAGTGCCTGGCATATAATAGATGCTCAGTAAATGTTAAGTTACTATGTAATGCCCCTGGTTGTATTGGGCTGTGCACTTATTCCTGGGCATATCCATAAAGAACGTCTGTGTTTTAGGTCATTTTGTTTTAGACCAAGAGGCACCCCAGGAAAAGGTATGAACTCTATGCTAAGGAAATTATCTGAGTTCTAAACTGGAAAAAAACAATGTCATGCTTTTCCCACTGTAACCTCCCTAATCCACAGGGTGATTCTCTTTCAGAAGTGGAATCTAGAACTCCTCTGGGAGCCTTATTCCATTGGCTGGGAAATCATTCTTTTGGCAAACTGGGCACCAGGAACTAGCATTTTCCTGTGGAAGAAGAGATTTCTCAAAGAAATCAAGTACCTCTAACATGAATTTATTTCAGTGATCAGTGTGACAAGCTAGCCTTGAGTATAGTAGCAGCACCAATACTATGGGGGTATCCCAATTCTAGAACACAGGTGGCAGTGGAACCGAACCCGCTGAAATTGGATACAGGGTCTACCTTCTAGGAGCCATCCTTTCTGTGCACACATTGCAGTCCTCAGTTTGCAGCAGAAAAAAGCTATTAGCAAATTATGTGTTCTATTTATGCAAATAAATCCTGCACTATGGTAGAAAGAGCACTGGCCTAGAGGCCTTAATTTTTGCATCTGTTAAATGAAGGTGATGATAGTACCTACCTCAAAGCACTGCTGAGATGATTTATTTAAATAGCATATGTAAAACCCCTAACACAGTCCTGGTTCATGGTTGGCGCCAAGTAAGTGCTAATTTTCTTTCTTCGCACAAGTCACTTCCATGGAACTTATCCTTGGAATGAAAGGGTTGTACTGGTGTGATTTTTTTACCAGTTCCTTCAAGCCTAGCATTTTGGAGTCCTTTAACAAAAGGAGAAAGGAAGGAAAGAAGAAAGAAAAAAAGGGGAATAAACAAGGAAAGAAAATTTTTATAAAAAGAGAGAAGGAAAAAGAATCCTTTATTACAGTAACACTAACCCCATGCTCTTGCAAGTAGCCCTTTAAGTAAAAGCAGTGCTTTGCTGACCTGGGTACTACTGAATCTACTACATAAAATAGCCTGCTATAATAGATGTATTTCTGTGCCTGATTTGTACATTTTAGATTTAGTAAAAGGAGAAGAAAGTTGAGCTATAGCTAAATTTATGTTTTTGGTTTTTTTCCCATCTGCTATCAAATGGCAATCACTCTTTAGTTTTTCTTCCTTTTCCCACCACAAACATTCTCCTCTGCCAAAAGAAGCTACTCTAAAATCCTAGTGTATCCAGTAAACCAAAGCACAGAAGTAAATGTGATAAAAAAAATTACCTGGGGTATGGAGAAAGAAAAGAGTGGAGTGAGGGGATGCACAAGCTCAGGCTGGAGCAGGCCTGCGAGCATGAAAAGCTGTGCATGTTTCAGAGCAGCCAGGGATGTATCTTTGTCTGTTCCTGCTGGTGACTCTTCATGCCTACGCGTCTCTCTGCTCCACTTGTGCAGTCACTCAGTCTGTCCGTATTTATTGAGGGCCTACCGTGTTCCAGGCTTGTGCTAGGAACAAAAGAACAAAGTATTGAGCAAAATATGTGTTTTTGAGTGAACCTTCACATCTTTCTTTGAGCAGCTGTGATCCTGAGGATCTCTGGGTCTGAGCATGTGTGTGTATGCGTGTTTCTGTGTGTCTGTGACAACTCCACATATGCACGGCAGTGATCTTTGTTGCTCTGCTGGCTTCAGAGAACTTCCTCCTACTGGCTGTGAGTTACTACACAAAGAGTGGGCTTTATCTGTGGTTGATTTTTATACCCTGCAAGATTGGGGGGCATGATCACTAGCAATTTAAAAATAGTTAGAAATCCCATGGTGTTCTCTTTTATAGAAGTTTTACCTGTACTGGTATTATGAAAAATAAGCCTCTCATTAGCTCAAGTATTAATATGATCCCATGTATGATTGCAGGTATCAGTAAGAGGAAACATTGACCAAGCCCAAGTTTCTGCTGTACCGTGCTAAAGGAGTGACAATTTCCACAACTGATTATTTTCTCATGGGTATTTCTGACTTTTACTAAAAGTAGAGCATCTTATTTCAAAAACCAGTGAATAGTCCCAATAATGGAGGTATCAACAGCACCTGCATGTTCATCCCTGCAAAACTATCTATGAAAATCAAACAACATAGCACCAAATTAAACCAGCCTGTTTTCGTAGTTAGATTCCGTGTGATCAAATTATTTGGGGCCATTCTCTGTCTCCTTCTCTCATCTGGTGGGATATATCTGCCCTAAAAATACTTACAAAAAGAGACTCTGGAAACACATTAACAGCTTTGTCTACTCTTGTATTTTTTCTTCCAGGGAAACAGAAGTACCTGTGTGCCAGCAGAAATGATTGCACCATTGACAAATTCCGAAGGAAAAATTGTCCATCTTGTCGTCTCCGGAAATGCTATGAAGCAGGAATGACTCTGGGAGGTAAGAGACTTTTTTCCTCTTTCTCCTCCTTCTCTCTCCCCCTTCCTCCCTCATCTCTAGTTCTCTCTTTAAACCACATTTTCCTCTTTGATGCTTCCAAGGGAGCCAGCCATGCTCCAGATGCAGGCTGACCCTTTCATATCCAACATGGCCATCAGCCAGCTGGTGCCTTTTTTCATCCTTATCCATGCCACTCCCCACTCTGAGTCTCTGCGTTAAAGCAGGAGGTGGTGTGAAGCAAACAGAGGGTGAGTGAGTGTGCACCTGACTGGGCAGAGTTCCTCAGGGGACTCGATGGTACTGACCTAATGTTATTCAGTGGTAGTTAGAATGAGGGAACTAAAGAATCCAGAACAGTCGCAGGTGCAGGATGACCCAGGCACAGGCTGGCCCTGAACACCTAGGAATATCCCTCAGCTAACTGCTGCCTATGTTGTAGGGCCAGCCACCTGGAATGAGAAGCTGCTTCTCTTTTGAGCTCGTGACTAGGCTGCCAAACAGAGCCAATTTCCTACATTCACCAGGGATGAGCAGGCATTTTAATCATTTCCTTTTCTTTACAAATCTATTGATAATTTCCAAAAGCATTTTTTCAGCAGCACAATAGCTTGATAGAAGAAAGATATAGCTCTTTTAAGGGGCAACCTTCTCTCATAGAGCTCTGTCCCCTGAGTCTGTGTCTACTATGAGCTTTGTCACCATTCCAGAAAGGGCTGACATCAGTTGATTGACACTTATATTTTCCCTCTCCATATTCCTCATCTCTTCATGTTTATATGTGCTCAATGCCAGGGTCTTCCCTGCTGCCTGCTGCTTCCAAAAAGATGCATTTTTCATGAGAAAAGCAAGCTCATTAATCTACTTTGATTTGGAAATGGAATTCGAAGAAAGGCAAGCCTATTTCTGAGTGCCTGCAACTGTGGCTTCATACCTGATTATTCATTATCAGCCTGGAAAACCCAAATGCCCAGAATCCAGTCCTGTCCCTTCTCCTCTCAAGGCTAATTTAGAGCAGTTGTCTACCTCTGCTTTCTGTGAGGTGCTCAATACCTTGTCTGCCTATGTGCAATATTTATAGACACCAACTTGTTTTCTAACCCTGGAGCAGAGCCATGTGTGGGTCTTCATGTAGATAACTATATCCTCCCCTCCTCACAGGCCAGTAATATTCTTTAAACAGACTAAAGTATCTCAAATGAATTGACTCAGGTTCGATCAGAGGTGGTTTGAAAAGAAGCATCTCAAGTAGTGTCTAGTACTCCCGGACGTCACAGGCAGATTCTGTGTGAGTGGCTTTCCAGGCAGCCACATCAAATGAGACTCAGTATCTGAGAAAAACCAATCTCATATTTGTTTGCTTGGTGTGCTCCGAAGAAATCCAACAATTGTGGTCTGTAGTGGGGAGGAAGAAGCAGGACTGAGAAGGGGGTGTGCAGACAGGAATGCAGGAAAAGTGGCAAAGGGATTAACTAGAGAAAGTTTTCTCCATAGGAATTTTGCAACCCCATGGCGAGGGTTCCGATACACTCACCTCTCAATTATTTAGCCTTCTGTGAATTATGTGTAATAGATGGGGGGCTCCCCAGGTAGAGAACCCCTTGGCTTGCCATCTACTGATATGAATTGCAAGCCCACTTTGATGCAGGTAAAATTTAATGGTAACAAAGGTCCTCATAACATTCGGGTCTAAATCTTGACATTAGTTGCATGTCTCAGCTGACATCCTCCATTATAAGGCAATCTGTGACATGATTACAGTGAACCTTTTGAAAAGGAGCCTGTGTATAACAGATAATTTCACTGTGCCATAGAGTAGTCATACATAAGTTTGTAAATTAATTTATTAGAGAGAACAGTACAGTTTTTAAGTTATAATGAGGATCGAATGACATCATGAATGTGAACATCCTTGATAAATGATAAAGTGTTAGACAAATGTGGGGGTTTATTATGACAATGAGGTCACTCGTAATTTAGCTGGTAAGTCTGTTAGCACTTTCCAGTGGCTTTTACCCTGAGTTACTTAACATGCCCCATAATATGTAATGGCTTCAACAGGCAGAGAATTACCAGAAATCATTCTTGAGCTCCTAAAACCAACAAGTACCACCCGGGCCCTGTTCAGAACCTGATTTTAGTAATTAAGGGAATCATATGTTATGCTCAAGAACCATGTCCATAAAAACCCAGGTTTTTACCTTCTTAAACCACTGCTTGAGGAACAAACCTTTCCATTTTGCTGAACTTATCTCCACTTTTCATGCCTTTCTGCTGCAACCCCCTCCAAATTTATTGTTTACTTGTGAATTCAGTGTACACCACACCTTTACTCAAACAATGGAAAAAAGAAAGCATTAATATGGAGTGGCCCTTGTGAATACTTTAGCAATAGACTTCCATTTTTATAAGATTTGGGTTTAGCACAGACATTTTGATCACCTTGAGAGAGAGTTCATATAATTTCATTTTCTTATTCCTATCACCCAAATTAAAATTATATAGTATATTCCAAAATGACGACTAGGAATGTGGCCATAGGCAAGTCCCTTCTCCCCTTTGAGGCTCAGTTTTTCCATCATTAAACTGGAATAGTGGGCTTCACCAAGGACCTTTCTGGTACTAACATTTTCTGATTCTATGTATGAAGCCCCACAGAAAAGATTTTAAGTTTTTCAGCCCTTTCTTAGATTGTCTGTCCTCTGCTCCCAGAACTATAGATAGTGGAGACTTGAGCGCTTTGACTAATAGCAATTAAAGCGACTTCCATTCACACCTACATAAGACACACAATATATGCATAAGATAACATAAGATATATTGTGTGTCTAAAAGTAGACCGGGTGGATAGATTATTGAGGCAGTGGAGGGCAGAAGGGCTGTCTTTATATCTTAAAGAAATTGGTACTTTGTAGCTGATGGCTGCTTGGTCTTTAGGCCTCAGGATCTCTAATCTGGCTTTCTCTGTAGTGCTCCATCCACTCACTGTTTGGTGATGGGATCTCTTCAACTCAGAGATACTTAGAGCATATAGTCCCATCTTTTCTGCTTCCAGGCCTACGTATCTGTTCCTTACTTCTCTTCCTAGGAGCTCTTGGTGTTTCTGAAAGGATCTTGGGGCTGGTCGGAGTCTCAGGATGGTTTCCTTAAAGACAGTCTCCAGGCTTTCAGCTGCCCATCCACGACAAAGATAGGCCTTTCTTTGTATTTAATACATGATTCATTTCTGGCTGCATTTGAAAACCACATATTGCTAATTGCTTCAATAATTTAAATCCCTTGACTACTTTTCATTTAAGAAAACTCTTAATAAGGCGTCAGATAAGGACCTTCCCTCCAGTGAATTAGCTGTAGCTTTTTCACAGCTCATAGTGATAATAAATGCACAGCCATCTATCACTTTTCTCAGCACTTTCTAAAGGTACACTCCTAGTTTCCGAGATGGAATGAGAAAGAAAGAATTGTGCTTCCTGCCATCTACTTCCCTGATCCCTCCCTGCTTCCCATTTTCCCTCCTATTTCTGCTCGTACGTTATTTATCTTTGTGTTTTGCAACTATTGAGTTCTCAGCTTTTAGTAAATGGCACTGGCCCCTCTTGATTCCTTCTTCTCCTGGACCATGGAAGGTTACAGGCCTTTCATAAATTTCAGGTAGCAACCAAAACCCAGAAGAGGAGAAGGAATAAGGAGACCTAAAGCATGTGAAACCCTAAATTGTGCAGCATTTTCTTCATAGGTTCCTCTGGCATATTTGAGAAGTCTCTTTCCTACTAGGAGACAGATCTCTACATCTGAGAATCAAAACTTAACAGATGTACAGGTTTTAACAACCTCTATGAATTCTCTAGCTGGGAAGATGGCTTGGGAGCCCCTAGCCACGGTCTGATGTCATCATGGACACTATGAACACCCTTACAGCTTCCCGTTTTTCAGCCAGTCCTGATGCCAGCTGTCTCATTCTTCTCCATGCTCAAGAGCAGCCCAGTATTGCTACCTCCAGATCCCATGTTCTGGAAGCAAGAGAGTGATTTCAATTTTGAAATGCTATTAGTGGCATGGTTCTTCACAGCATTTATTTATCCTGTCTATCCATCGATCCTTCCAGCCAGCCGAGAATCTAGTGCTTTCATCTTTTTGTCCATTTACTCATCTGTTTATCCATTTAGCAAATATTTATTGGGTGCCAATTATGTATTAGACACTCTGCTAGGTATTTGGGGAAGGCAGAGCTAAATAAGATATAATCCCTGCCCTCAGAAACTTAAACAAGGGGAGACAGACGGATAATGAATATACTTTAGCCTTAAAGGATAAATAGGAAATCACTGAGAAGAGGTTAAGTGAGATGGAAGAGAAAAGACATCCAAGGCAAAGGGCACAGTTTGAATAAAGGCACAGAGACATGAACAAAATGCATTGAGGGTTTCAAAAACAGCAAGTAGTTGAGTATGGCCGGAGCTGGGAAAATGGGAAAGTCAAACTGAAACCACACTGAAAATGAACTTGGTTATTATGCTAAGAAGTTTAGGCTTCAGGCAATTGAAGATCTATGACCATGGGACAGAGATGATCATGTATCATTTTGTTTATTTGCGTTTTTTTTTTAAGAAAATTGGTAGCAGTATGAATGTTGTATTGGTGAGGGCTTACATTTTAAAAAGAGAGATAGTAGGCCAGGTATAGAGAAATTTCTAGCTTCAAATTTTGCTAACCATCTAGAATTGGTTTCTGGGGCTAGTTTCCTCTGTTTGGAAACTGCCTGTAAGTTCTGACCATGTACATGAAGAAACACTGGCCTAGACCAAGGCAACTGGCTTGTATAAGGGGCCTGCCTTGGTATAGGCCAGTGTTTTCTGGTATGGGTTCTGAGAAAGCTAGTTTCATGACATGCTTCATGAAAAAATGATTTCTATGGTCAAATAAGTGAAGGAAAACTACATATTATGGTCCTGCTCAGGAAGATTTACAATGCATATTAGCATATCACAGGCCCTGGTGAGTCC